CACCTTAGGTTGGAGGACTTCTCTGAATAAACTGGTTTGGGTTTTATGTTAATCACTCCCTCTGAGTCCTCTGGGGCGGATGTGAATTGCATCGTTTCTAGGATGCTGGTGGTGTCATTGAGCACGCCTCACCTGCTGAAATGGCCACAGCTAGTTTCACCTGCTGGCGTGACCGACTGTCCCGATAGAGGTCATAGATTGGAAAGCCATCCAGAAATGGCAGCTAATGTTTGCTTCAGTAGCACATGGGCAAGGTTTTGGTTTATTCCTTTTTCATAATGTCTCACTGTCTCTGTGTTGGACAGCTACACATCAAAGAGATTGTCCCAAGAGTGGCATTTGTTGCATAACTGATTATCCCCTGGTTTAGGTCCAGAGTACTGGGGAAGGAGAGGCACAGAGGTACTTTGACCACGCACTGACTCTGAGGAACACCATCCTGTTTTTGCGTCATAACAAGGATCTAGTTGCACAAACTTCACAGCCGGAGCAGCCCAACCATGGTATGACCCGTAGGCTGCCTTTGAAGACTCGACTGTAGGAAACACCCGTCTTTCTAAGAAATCACACAGGTCGCGTTCCCTTAACTATTCATCACTTCTTTCATACGTTTTGTGATGCGTTTGTAACTGGAGGCTGGTGGTATTTCTATGCTGCCCAGCTGTTGTGATCACCACACTCTTTCCTGATGCGCCACTCCCACTGATGGGTGTCAGTCTCTCTGGTGCCCACATGAAGGATGGGAGTGCCAGTCTTCCTGTCGATAGTGGGATGGGATTGAGAACAGGCATCAGTTCTGGGGGGAACAAAGGTCCACAGGGTTTCGGTGAGGGAGCCTAGCACTTCAAGGATCAGCTCCTACCAGCCGGTGCTGTTGTCATGTGTGTCAGAGTGCTTCACCTGGAAACAGTAGAGGAGACCTGAGGTTTCCTGTCAGAGGGTAGCAAACACACGGAGGACTGACCGACAGCTCTGATGGGGTCTCCCTGGTGTGCACTTTCAGTTGGATGTGCAGCAGTGGTTGTCGGGAGCCCTGGGGTGGATTCTGATTCATGGCGTCCCGTTGTCACAGAGTAGAGCTGGTCTGGGGGTTTCTGGGCTGTGATGATCAGTCTGTGAACAGACCGCCGTGCCTGTCTCCCGTGGAGCTGCTGGGTGGGCTGGCTTGGAGTGTGGGCCCTTTGGTTAGCAGCTGGGTGCCTAGCCACGTGCTGCTGTGGTGGGATTTCCTCCGAGGTTCTGCTTCACTGGTCGTGAGGGCTGCAAGGGCACCCCTTTGTAGTACTCCTCCAGGGCTGGGAATGGAGAAGTGGAGTCAGGGACGGCAAGCCTGTTCTGGCCTCGTCTGTGGCCTGGAGGTTTGTGGCACTGCTGCCCTTTTGCCCTTTGGACCCGAGCCTAGAAACCACCACTGTTAGATATGCAGAGCTGTGGCTCCTCTGGTTAGGGTCATCCTGAGTGTTGACACGGCTGCCGTTGCCCAGGGTCCGCCTATCACTCCGCCCGGCCTCCCCGCAGGTTTCCCTCTGGACCTCCTGCGCTGTGAAAGCCTCCTGGGTTTGGACCCCGCGACCTGCAGCCGTGTCCTGAACAAGAACTACACTCTGCTCGTCTCCATGGCCCCGCTCACCAATGAAATCCGGCCCATCAGCAGCTGCACGCCCCAGGTACGGACCCGGAGATGGTGGTGTGCTTGAGCTCGTGCACGGTGCCTGGGGGATGCTCTCACAAGCCTGTGTCACCGAGGCTCACCTGCCACATTCCAGGTCCTCAAACACCGGCTCAGAAAGCAGTTGTGCATTTCCTGCTGTTGTAAGAGGAGGGTTATTGTTCAGTTTCCAAGGTAGAATGGCATATTTCATTTATGTGTCACCCGGTGCTTTGTGACGGCAGGTTAAACTGTGGCTGTAGGGGGAGTGGTTGGGGCACTCTAAGAAGGAAGCCGAGCTTGCCTGGAGGGATGATATAAATTTAACTAGGAAAGTTGTTCAAAGAAACGCGGCTGGGATGCTAAGTATGCCAAAAAGAAAATATTGTGCCTGAAAGTTCAAACTTTCCTTGTCTGGCAGACTTGAGTTTATATGTGACAATTGCTTCTGGCCTCCTAGTTTTGAAGAGTTCTGTTTAGCAACCCTTCAGTTGTGGTGTATGTATGCACTTGGCAAGAACACTGCAGCCCAGCGGTTCTCAACTTGTGGGTCGAGACCCCTTTGGGGGTCGAATGACCCTTTCACAGGGGTCGCCTGATTCATAACAGTAGCAAAATTACAGTTATGAAGTAGCAACAAAAATAATTTGATGGTTGGGGGGGTCACCACAGCACGAGGAACTGTATGAAAGGTTGCGGCATGAGGAAGGTTGAGCACCGCTGCTGTATTCTGTCCCATTTTCCAGGTGCCTTCATGGTGTGTTGTTGGTTATGCATTAGGTTGCTAACCACACGGTCAGCAGTTGGGAACCACCAGGTCATGCTGAGCAGTGAGGTCCAGATTCATTCACTCCTATGTCCCTGCACCTAGCAACCTTTCCTCAATTCCAGTACAAAATGGAAATTCCCTGCGGAGAGTATTTCAAGTCCATTTTCATAAGAATCATAGAAATTAAGGTCACTACTCTGATCTATTGTTAATGCTCTATCTCGCCTGTTTTCTCATTGTAGCATATTGGACCGGCTATCCCCGAAGTCAGTTCTGTCTGGTTCAAACTGTACATTTACCACATCACCGGGCAAGGACCACCGTCTCTCTTACTGTCCAAAGGTACAAGGCTTCGAAAACTGCCAGACATATTCCAGGTATGCTGTGGGTGTTTCACTGTTGCTATTTTTCACTCGTGAGGAGGGTCGGTATTGGAGATCAGTGTGACGGATGTTTTTTCCTGTTTCTGCACCACATAGGTTTCCTGTCTCTCTTTCCACAGGGCTATGACCGATTACTGATAACATCTTGGGGTCACGATCCCGGAGTTGTCCCCACGTCGAACGTGCTCACCATGCTGAATGACGCGTTAACACACTCTGCGGTTTTAATCCAGGTGCTCCTCCTGTGTTGTACATGGACCGCCTTTTCCTTTGTAGGTTACAGTTTGTCGGTCAGCTGACGTTCCTAAAGCTGAACCGCACGGGAGTTGAGATCTTGGACTTCTTCCGGCCCTTTGTCTAGTGGGATGGACGTTGAAGTTAGAACCCTGATTGAATTCCAGCTTTGTCTTTTGCTCACTGTGTGACCATTTAAACACAAGCCTTTTAATTGTGCTGTGATTTACTCACCATATAATTAACTACTTTAATGTGGACAAATCAGGGCTTTTTGTGACTGCACAGATGTTTGCAACCTTCAGCACAGTCCATTTACAAAGCAAAAACATTTTCTTAGCCTCAGAAACTTTCACTTGCCTCGTCCTTGGGCTAAGCAGACACTGCTCTGTTTTCTGCCTTTCAAGAGTTGTCTAGTCTGAGAAATTCTTTGACATTGTAGGTTCTTACCATCCTGCCAGTAAAAAGTATTGGCAAATGATAGTTTTCTGGAGTTTGCCTTTTTCTGTAAGAAACCGAAAAAAAAAAAAAAGAGGAGTTCTCCTGAAGAGCTCTGACCATTCAAGTCCAAGTCAGAGATGAGTCTGGCATAGTAGCCAGGCCCTGGAGTGTGCTGACCTTGTATACGGGTCAGCCAGGAAGTATTGCTACAGAACCATAGAAACCTCTGTAAACAAAACTTTGGGAGTGTGAAGCTGTTGTTTCTCACAAAGCCTCCTCTAGCGCTATGCACTTCTGCCCTCCAGCCCTTCCCAGAAGTGTTCGCCATGTAGAACGGCAATTTGCCCTCCTCGGGCACTGAAGGCCTATTTCTTTTGAGTGCTGAGTTGTGGAACAAAGAGTCTGAAGGGCAATACTGGGGCTAGAGGGTGGAAGGGGGAAGGTTTCCCAATGAAATTCTGATAGGTCCATCCTTGAAGAATGAACAAGTGCATTGTCCTGATTTTTTGGGGGGTGGGGAGGGCGGGGATTCCTGGCTCAACTTCCCAATGCAGTTTTCAGTTTTCTTAAAACTGTCGTAAAAGTCCCTGTGATCTCCACTGTCCTTTGAAATAAATCTCTCAAGATGGCCCCTGTGGGATCCTGGAAGGCAGTTGTCATTGTGTTTTGAATTTAATCGGGCCTTTTTTTTAAGACACCCTACTGAGCCTAAGACACATCTGTGTATTACTGAGAGAATTGGTCTGCAACCATCGCACTGCAGAGACATGTTTAAACAGTTCTGTTTAAAGTACACCTGTGCGTGTAATACTGGACTCTCAGCACGTTACTTCTTGACTCCCTCCTGTACTCAGAAGATACCTTTGCTTGCTGAAGAGAAAAATTGGAAATGGTTGGAAAGCATCTGAGAAGAGTATTAGTGTGGGATATGAAGTGTACAGTCTTACTCATCGCTTGCATCTCTGTATTAGAAATACAGGTTTTTTCTTAAAATCTTTCCCTCGTGCTTTCCTGTGTAGGGCCATGGTTTGCATGGGACAGGAGAAACGATCCAGATACCATTTCCATTTGATGAAACAGAACTACAAGGAGGTACCTTACTTGCCAATTGTATGAAAAGTATATTCTGTTGACTCCTTTATCATTAAACATGACAGGTTTGGTGGAAAAAAGATCTTGTAAGTTTCAGGGCAGGAGTGGGGAACTAATCACTGGGACATTGATAACCATCTGAGGGCCATAGTGCTCAACCCTTGAGAACTCATCCCTGGTGCGCTGGCTGGCGATGCTGCTCTTTGGGGAGGGCGTGTGGTGTTAACTGGTATTGCTGGTTCCAGGGCCTCATCCAGTCTGTCGCCTCTGTGTTCCTCACCTCTGCCGTAGGTCCTTCCTGTCCTGTTAGTAAAGCATATTGGCAAAATACAGGGTTTTTTGTCAGGGGTGTTTGTTGCAGAATAAATACAATGAGAATACGTTTTGCTTTTTGAGGAATGCTCGTCTGCCTTGTTGATGAAGAGAATAAATAGATAGTAGATGGAAGGCTTAACTTTTCTGTATGCAGAGCCTTTTAGTTTCTTTTTATTGTCAGTGAGGTAATTGGAGAAAAGACAAGGCATAGGAAAGCTTTTATGCTTAGGAAGTTGTTATTCTACCATCTCTAACTATATATATATTTTTTTTTTGGGGGGGGTGTGTCTTTTTAAAATAGAAATGGACTTCAAAAAGTTCGTGGAAAAATGCAACTAAACATAATTGATTTAATGTTACCATTCAATCCTAAATCTTACGGGGAAAGATCATTGTCCATCTATAGATACAAGATAGCAACAATGGAATCTTAGAATTTATAAAACCTCAAACACACTCATAGGTTCCTTGCCTGGGAGGACTATTGTATGGATTATAAAAAAAGATATTTTCATACGTGATGGGGAGACCCAAACCGATTGGTTAGTGAGTTCTGACTGAGCAGTACTACAGGAGAGAGGAGAACTGCCCACAGGATTTCCAGGGCCTCCAGCTGTCATCTTCCTCCCATAGAGCCACACGCAGGCTCAACTGTAGACCTTTCCGTGATGTAGCCAGGCGCTTTAACCGCTGCACCACCAGGGCATGTGTGGGTGTGGAGCGTCTATTGGACTTCACACATTGATGAGGACTGAACGAGTAGCTTAACAATGAGCGATGTGGCTGCAAGTGTACCATTAGCTTTAGTTTCTATAAGAATAGTTTAACTTTTTCTGAAATTAAGACATCTTAATGTAATTTATATATTTAAAATGTTTCCTGGTCAGAGCTCTCCAGGTAAGTACCAGAAGGGGATTAGAACCACGTGGAGAAAGCCTGGCCCTGATGGCTGACTGATCCAGCAGGACCTCCTGAAGACTAAGTGTGCACAGCACCTCCTTTTGCAGCCACAGGTGGTCTCTTCATTGAAATGAGCCTTGCTAGCTGGAAGGATAAACCAGTCCGAAAGTGATCCTAAGGGAAGCTTCTTTAGGGCTTCTACCTCGGCTCTGATACCACCTCCTCTTTCTTCTTAGAGTTTACTCGTGCCAATATGGGAGTTCATAAGGCCTTGAAGATACTAAGGAAAAAAGTGGACTTGCAGCATTTCTGTGGCTACGTCACTATGCTGAATGCCACTAGCCAGCTTGTCCACAGAAGACTCAGTGATGCTTCTGACGAGAGAGGTCAGTCTGTGCTGGGTTCTTTGGGTGAAGATGGTTTTCAGTTTAGCATGATCTTTATTTGCTGATTGGTACATTTTCATGGGGTTTGACACTGGAAGACACAGAGAAGTGGCTTAAACCAAACCTTGGTGTGCCGCTAAGAGACTTTATTAAGTATCTGGGCGAACGTCTCAACTTGTGTTTGCCTCTTCACTACTGGCCGTGCTAGTGTGGGCACGGAACATGGTGAGCCTGGGTGACTCTTTCTTATGGGAGGCTGTCGAATGCATTGAGGGACATTTAGCTTCTAGGGGCACCCGTAGTTTCTCTCCCCCGTTATCAAGTGCAGGCATGTCTCCTGATGTTGACAAATGTTCCCTACAGCACAAAAGTGCCCTAGTTCAGTGTCACCCATGGCTTTAGGCCAACGATCTTTCATTGGTCTTTCTCTGTCATTACCGTTGCCCAAGTTCTCTTTCGGTCAGGACTGATTGATTGGCCATCTGTGCTGATCGTCTGAACCCGGGCAGCGTGTACGTGTCCTCTGATTTCTTTCTTTTTCTCCCTCTGACGTCTCTCTAAGGGGAACCTGATTTGGCTTCAAGCTCAGACGTAAACGGGAGCACCGAGTCCTTTGAAATGGTCATTGAGGAAGTCCCTCTAGATACAGCGACAAAGTCGAGCTCTGGTAAGGTTTTGGGACTGAGTTCTGAATGGTAACTGTTCTGCTCATTTGGATGTATCGGTCTGTTTTTATTTTCTATGTGGGCATTTTAAAAATTATATAGAAACTTTTGGTGTATTCCAAAAAGTCCTGTGAAAATCTGACGTGAACATAGTACTGGCTTCTGTCACCATTCCTGGGTTAAGTGCCCCGTCCTCTTTCCCATCGTGTGGATGGATGACCTGCAGTGAAAAGCTCACTCTACATGTCTGCAGAATGCATTGTGCTTTCTTGTGGGAAACGTACAGACTCAAAAATATTCCCCCGTCTGAGATTCCATGGTCCCTCGTGAGCCCCCTGCCCAGCGCATTGGTGGAGGGTCACCGGGCAGGAGGCTGCTGTGGTGCCCAGTCGTGTGTGTGCAGGACATAATGCAGGTGTGGCTGGAGCAATGCGTCCATGTGTCCTTCTGTAGGCGCCACAGCTGAAGCTGATTGGGTTCCTCTTGAGCTGTGCTTTGGAATTCCCCTGTTCAGTTCTGAGCTAAACCGGAAAGTGTGCCGGAAAATTGCTACACATGGCCTTTGCAGAAAAGAGAGGTGAGAGTTTATGGTCACTGTCATCGTTTTATCCGCATCCACTCGGTTTTAAAACTCCCTGTAGTTCATGAATCTGACTTCCTTTTATCTACACAGAGCAGTTACATAGACTTGTCGGTTGGATAGAAATGACTAGTTTAAAGGGGGTTACGTTTGGGATATCAGAAAAAAGGCACATGGATACATTTTGGGCATGTGGTTTAAGAATTTTAATTAATAGTATATAAACTTCTTTACCCTGTTTCAGTGAGGTGATGGTGAAATGGGCTTGCTTATATGAACACTTACTGTAGAGTTTTAAAGGACACCATGATGATCATTAGCAATTTACATATTTTCAAATTAGAAGATTTAAGTGAGGTGATGGGTGTTAGTGTTTCTCAGGCTGTATTCTGAATTGATTTGAATGCTTGATGATGGGGTAGTTGCCATCTCTCCGAGGCCTTAAGTCCTTGTTTTAGAAGGTTTTAGTGTCACATTTGTTAACTGCTAGTAGTATAACCCTTTTGTAACAAGAACTTGGCTATGCCTGAGGTTTGACTTTATTAATCCAGTATTAGTATGAAACCTTGCAGAAATGTCATTGGCCAGAAACAATGGAACTATTATTTTAAATGCTATATGATTTATTAAGAAAAGTATATGAATATAAATGCACTTTTAATAGCTAAGTTAAACTGTTGGAAGATACTAGTTTTTGTCATTATACCCCCTTTTTTTTTTCAGCCTTCAAAACCTCTTACATTCCAGTAGAAAACTCTCTCTACAAGTCCTGAACTTTGTTCACTCATTCCAGGTAACGAGAAAATTCAGTGGTGTTTCTAGTGCTATAGACATGTCCCCGTTAGATTTTGGCTTCTCTCAACAGTGGAACACTGCATGTGGTTTATAAGTAAAGTCTCTGGGATGCAGGCAAGTTGAGGGCCGTGCGCATGGTGTCTCTGGCCACCCCTTCTGAGTGGAAAGTTCTTGCTCTGTGTCTGAGTATCAGTAAGCCCAGTGTGTAGAGGTGGCCAGGGGCCAGCGAGGCAGGGAGTCTCCACTGGGAGTAGCTTGTGCTCCTGTCTGCCTGGGCTCGAGTCTTCGGGACCTGGGGTGGAGGTAGAGATGAGATCGTTCAAATGGAGCAGAAGTTCCTGTTCAGAATTTCCATTCTGGCTTTAGGAAACTTCCAGGAGTTGTGGATTTTGTTTCCATGCGCCATTCATTCACGCTGCAAGTTGCTCCTTGTGCCAGAGGCCCTGTGCCAGGTGCTGGGGAAGCACTGGTTTGTGAGGCGCGTGCGGTGCTGATGGCCCGTGAGTCAGTCAGTCATCATTAGCACGAGGCTCACGGGCATGCCATTTTGACACATTTCGATGTCCACAGCGAAAATCCCAGAAATTGCTTTTATTTACCTCTTACGATGTATGCACATATATCCAAATTAATTTTTTTCTAACTCTTCTAATCTCTAAATTCTCTTAGTGGTTGACCGATCTCTCTGAACCTGCATCAATTTGACATGACGGGAAATTGAATGATAATCCCAGTAAATCTGTCTCATTCACGAAAGCATTACTTCAGTAATCAATATAAATGTAGTCAAAAAGTTCTTAGAAAGTAAACATCAAATATAGAGACTGCCTTACTGACCCAAGCGGTCCTTACAATACTTCCAACCCAATATCTCAAATGTTGTATAATTTTATATAAATATATGGTATCACATAGTTTCATTTATAAGTTACTAGTGTATAATTATGTTTAAAAAATTTTTTTAAATCATTTTATTGGGATCTCGTACAACGCTCATCACACTCCATCCATCCATCCATTGTGTCAAGCACATTTGTACATTTGTTTCCCTCATCATTCTCAAAACATTTTTTTCTACTTAAGCCCTTGGTATCGACGCCTCATTTTTTCTCCTTCCTCCTACCCTTCTCCCTCATGAACCCTTGATAATTTATAAATTGTTATCATTTTGCCATGTCTTACACTGTCCAACATCTCCCTTCACTCACTTTTCTGTTGTCTGTTCGTCCTCCAGGGAGGGGGTTATATGAAGATCCTTGTGATCAGTTCCCCCTTTCTACCCCACCTTCCCTCCACCCTCCCAGTATTGCCACTCTCACCACTGCTTCTGAGGGGTTCATCTGTCCTGGATTCCCTGTGTTTCCAGTTCCTATCTGTACCAGTGTACATGCTCTGGTCTAGCCAGATTTGTAAGGTAGAATTGGGATCATGATAGTGGTGGTGGTGGTGGGTGGGGGAGGGCATTAAAGAACTAGAGGAACGTTGTATGTTTCATCATTGCTACACTGCACCCTGACTGGCTCGTTTCTCGTGTGACCCTTCTGTAAGGGGATGTCCAGTTGCCTACAGATGGGCTTTGGGTCCCCAATCCTTTCATTCCCAGTGATAGGATACCTTGATGCAGATAACTGATCCCTTTGACACCCTCGTGATCACACAGGCTGGTGTATTTCTTCCATGTGGGCCTTGTTGCTTCTGAGCTAGATGGCCGCTTGTTTACCTTCAAGCCTTTAAGACCCTAGACGCTATAGCCTTTGATAGCCAGGCACCATTAGCTTTCTTCACATTTGCTTATGCACACATTTGTCTTCAGTGATCGTGTCAGGAAGGTGAGCATCATAGAATGCCAGTTTATTAGAACAAAGTGTTCTTGCATCGAGGGAGTACTTGAGTAGAGGCCCAAAGTCCATCTGCTACCTTAATACTAAATGTATAAATATGTGCACATAAATCTATTACCACATCCTCATTATATTTACATATGTACGTGCCTGTAATAAGCTATTTTTTAAAGAAAATGCTGTTTTGCTCATAGTCAATTTGATGGTAGTTATATAGAAAATGCCCATAAACCTAGTGTTAAAATGAGCACAGATTTCAATAGCGCATGAAGAGTGGAACTCAGATGAGGGATCCAAAGGCTGACCTAATTTAAAAAGGGGTGATGCTGAGATTATATCTATGCTGAGACCTAAAGGTCGGTAAAGGGTACCAGGCAGGGCTTGCTAGGTGCAGAGCTGCTATGTTGGGAAATCACCAGAGACCGAGGCATTGGTGCCAGTGTGGGCTGCCCAGGAAACACAGGTGAGGTGGGGAGGCCAGCCGGCACAGTGGGCAGTGTGAAAGGGTGTGGGCTTTGTACTGAGGTGGAGAGAGGCATGGGGCTTCTGAGTAGCTGTTCCACGGGTGACTCGAGTTGCAGTTTGGCGGCGAGGTTAGGAAGGACTTGAGGAGAAGTGAGGTCAATTCAGAGACTGTTGTAGAAGTCAAGTGAGTTCTGGGAATGTGTCCCTAATTCAGGTGGGTTTATTACACGCTAACTGTACCAGTATGTTGTGCAGAGTCTTAGAAAAAGGCAAACAAAGAAACATTTGGAGACTCTTACAAGACATGTTACAAGAGTAAATAAATGTAAAAATTCTGTTACCCCTTTTCATGACCCTCTAATTAAGCGCCTTCTACTTCCATGGGATCTGTAAGGGAAAGTGTCGTTTCTCTGCTCCCCAGGGCCCACCTCTCTGGTTAGTTGTGCGTTTCTTCCTCAAGTGCTGACTCTAGAATGTTCTCCCTGTTTCTTGGTCTTTCAGGAAGGTGCTTCAACTCTGGACATCCATACAGAGGCCAGTTTCCCAAGCTTGCTTTCACAGCCATCCAATGCCGACGCAGGAGTTCCGCTTCCTGCCAAGAACTTAATGTTTAAAGACGGGATCCTGTCGGAGTGGAGTGGACGGTCTCCTTCCTCACTTCTTATCGCTAACCTCCACTTGCAATAATCTGGTCCCCGCCTTTGTTGCTCACACGTTCTGCCTTTTGCTTTCTGAGCTTTAGCTTTCCAGGGCCGGCCACTAGAATGCCGCCGCCGCCGCCGCGGCCTTCCTGCATCAGTGGCAGGTGCAGGCCAGGGGGCGGGGGACTGTGTGCTAAGCGATGTTCAGCACTGCACACCCTGATGCAAGGAAGAGCTGTTTCGCAGTCAGTGCTGTGTTTTTTTACCTTGAGACAATCTGCATTTCTTTTCTAGAACCCGAGGGTCGACTCTACCAGCTATGTGATGACTGTTAATGTTCATAAGCAGTCCCTATGATATTGCAATGGTAATTTTATATTGTTAGTTTATCAGACATGGACCTTGTTTAATTTTCTATTTTGTTACTTATACTCTGGGGAATCGTGGGAAGAGAAGGAACTCTTTCTGGGAAAATTCAGCAGACTTGTCAGACCGCACACACGCAGTGTGGAAAGGCATTCCGAGTACTTGGGGGTGGCTGTCACGTGGGTCTGCCGGGTGAACAGTGTTGGCTGTGGAGTCAGCACAGGGCACAGTGGTGTATGAGGTTGGAACGATTCATTCACATCTCATGAAAAGCTTGGGGAAACTTTTGATTTTTAAGCAATGTCTTTATGTGGATTTCTGTTGTCACTCCCTTCAGACTCTGTATTTTTCATAGAGTCTTTGTGGGAAAAGAGTTTGGGTTTGTTTTGTTTTTCCTTGTCTCATCTCCTGGTAGCTGTGGCTACAGAATGTGTATTAACTGTACCAATGACTAGTGTGGAAGTGGAGTTTGATGTTTTTAAATCAAGAGTTGTGTGATTCAGGGCAGCATTTCACTGAGGGCACCAAGGTCTTCTGATCAAGACTAGTGACACACCTACTCTGAAGGTCACCTTGTAAGCAATCTGGATCTTAACCGTGTGTGGATAGTTCTGGAAGAACATGATGAAGACAAATTGAACAATTCCTCAGTAGTTTCTACCGTGTTGCCTGGGTCACTGATTCTTTTAGTACCTCAGATGTTAATTCGAGTAATTAAAAATCACTTTTTAGACTTCTCCAGTTGCCTTCCTTAGGAGGTTTGTGCAGTATTATAGTTTAGCGTAGCACCTCTCTAGAGTACTAATTGTCTGCTAGTAAAAACTGTAACCAAGCTAGCTGGTCAAGCAATTTATAGCTAAAACACTTCAAACTTTAGAATGTTTGGGAATGTTATAACTAAAACATTTTTGCTCATTATTTTTTGTTTGGTTGTTTTTAGATCTCTTTTTGTGTATTGAGTATACTTTTGGAAAGATACACCTTTCTTAAAACTGTTAACATAACCATGTATTCGGTACCCTAGCCTATCTAGAGAATTGCATATTTTGGACCAGGCTTCCAGTGGCAGCGCCAACACTGGGTTTGGGATAAATGCTGTTAACGGTTGGTTTTCTCCTTTGTCTGCCATGAGGTAGAAGCCTAGTGTATGTTAAAAATGTATGTCTGTATTGGGAGAAATGTATACTAATATTAAAGTAATTTCTTATGACTGTGAATCACGCATTTATTTTTCCAATGACTGATGATGCACATTCCGAGTACTATTAGGTATGTATGTAACTCTTACAGGTTCTCAGCTGAAGGCTGTGAAGTGCTTCTTTGGATAAGGGCTCTCTAAGCTCCTTTCCATTGGCTTTGTGCTGGTCAGCACTACTTGTTTTATTTACTCATGCATCAGCCACCCTGCGTCCAGTGGAGTGACCAACACTAATAAAGAATGGCCGTCTGCAGTGCACCCATGGTTGGTGAATTTAAAGTTTAAAATCTGAGAGTCAATTGGCTGCTATGTTTCCTATGGGCACAACATAGAACCTAGTCTGATCATGGATACTCGAGGAAGGAGTTTTAAACACGGGGTCAGCTCCAGCGCGGAGCAGGAGACAGGGAAAATGAACCTCTCGGCGTCCATGTCCGGCGGGCACTCCACATGGGAAGTTGCGCAGAGTCCCCGTCATCGCCGCTCCTCTGCTCAGCTTTGTGAGGTGGTCTGCTTCCTTCCTGTGTTACGCCTGTAAAAATGTATCGCTGGAATTAAAAGTGTTGACCCAGTTCAACAAAAAGGTGAAGTTAGAATATAAACTTTGTTATTTGCCAAAGAAGATTCATTAAATATTCTTAACTGATTTCTGTGTGTGTGTGTGTGTGTGTGTGCGCACGCGCGCACAGGTGTAATACGTGATTTCATTTGCCTTTGTGCCACTTCCTCCCTGCCCCTGCGGCCCCCTCGGTGTCGGTGGAAACCTCAGAGTCTTCAGAAGTGGAGGGAGAGAAGGGCAGACGTGGAAAAGGGCTGGGAAGCCCGAGCGGTTGAGGCACCGCACAGATGGGCCTAGAGAAGTGCAGCTGGGTCTCCGTCTTCTAAAAGTGCGGTCACCTGACACTGTCTTGTTTGTAAAAATAAGTCATCAGATGGTTTTGCATTTCCTTTTTGAAGGGGTGGGGTGGTGGTGCTGGTTTCTATTTTTTGATGTTTTTGGTTAACTTCTTTACTGCTTATGTCTCTTTTTTATGTTCAGCGTTTCAAACCATTTATATTTAAAGCTTTTTAAAGTACCAAAACTGAGAGTGAGTCCAGTGAGCTGTTTCTGGTATGATGTTAATATTACACAATGAAGTGTATCGAAATGTCAGTTTGATGATTGACACACATAACATGTTTACAAATAAACTGTGCTGTTGATCAAGTTATGGTTGAAATGCGTAGAATCTTTCAGAAGGCTCTTTTAAGCCTTTAAGTTTGGCCATATTTCTGTGCATTTTCATAAGTATACAAGTATATAAGTAGTATATAAATTATAAAAATAGTAACTGCATAAAATGTATATGCTTATTTTGGAACGATTGTAGAATTCCAGGAACATTAATTACAGAAGTAGTCCGGAGGTGTTTCGTGGACCCTGCACCGAGCTGCTCTAATGATCACACCGTGCACATTTGTCTGAGCGGAGGAATGGGCGTTGAGGTGGCACTGTTGACTAACCAGTAGACTTTACTTGGTCGTCTCCTGTGTTCCTATGGTGTCCTCCTCCCAGTCTAAGAACCAGCCCGGGACATCACACGACAGTCCGTCACCAGTCCGTCTCTGAGCCCATAACACTCCCCGTGTCCTCCTGACTGGTGCTGTGGAGAGTGCTCGTCCCTTATTGTGTGGGATTTCACTCTGCGGGTGGATCTGATGCTTTCTTGGCATTAGGTTGAGGTGGTCCTTCAATGGCAAGCACACAATGGGTGCCAGACGCTCCCATGTGTCACCGGGTGCTTGGTGGCGGTTGTGTTACGGCTGGTGGCCTTTCACTGTTGTGGGTGTTCTTGTCTGCTAGGCTCCTCCACTCAGATTTCTCCCAGTGTCTGTACTGATGAGTCACTAGGCCCACACTGAAGGTGGGATAGGGTGTGTGTGTGGCAGGTTGGGATGACTAGAGAAACATACTCAGTGGCTCTCGTGTAAGAGAAAGCTTTATATTAAGAAGTAATTATATATAAGGAAAACATCCCAGCCTGGTCCAGATCAAGTCCCCAAGTGTGGTACTAGTCCATAAATCCCTTTTCAGACTCATGCAGTAGCATGCAATAATGCAAAACGCTGGAATACCACAGGCTGATGGGTGAAAAGTCTTGTGGGTCCAATTGTGGTGGACACATCTCCAGGGGTCTGGCTTGCCAGTAGGAAGGTGAAGCAGAGAACCATTTGTCTCCATGGCACCTCCAAACGAGGTCTTCAAACTGTGACCTGTTTGGCAGGCTAAACTCCACCTATATCTTAAGGGTGCCATGTTGGCACAAAACCCTGAGGATCACAGGAAGGAATACTACACTGTGTTATCTGGAGTGCTTTTAAGGAAAGGTCTCCCTCCCATGCATGTGGTCGTCTAGTCCTCTTGGCACAGGTGCATGGCTCTTCAGTTGCCATCTAATAAGGCTCTTTCATTGCGTACATTGTTCCAGCTTTGGCCTTTGAGAGACTGTCCAGGTTGTTGCCTCTGCCCTTTTGGCCTGCTGTAGCCTCGTTTGGGGAGGGGACATTTTCTTACTTCCTGGCACTGCAGGTTTGTCCTCAGCCCCGCTGCATAGTTGATAATTTCTCCAAGGAGCCCTGCTTCCTTTTATTGGAGAATGGTGTTTTGAAATGAAGAAATGAGCATTGGATGTGCCCAGTGTTCCTGCTTCTCACCTGAACTTTTCAGCAAGTTGAGCTCAGAAATATATATGTGAACATAAATATGCTATATATGTATGATTGCATTTATGTAGTCTGTGTGCATACGTAGCTTGTGTGTGTGTGTGTGTGTGTGTGTCTGTATATTGTGTGAGTATGGAGAGAGCATGCCAGCCCTGTTAGCTTTGTGGAATAAGTGCTTACCATGGTCAGCAATTCAAACCCACCAGTCTCAAGAGCAGGATGAAGCTGTCTGTTCCCATAGAGGTTGGGAACCCCATAGAGTTGCTGTGAGTCAGAATCCACTTGACTGTTTTGTATTTATGTGTGTGCATGTATAATTATCAAACTCAGTGTGTTAGACGGGGTTCTCTAGAGAAAAGCAGGACATATATGATTATATATATATGTGTGTGTGTGTGCGTGTGTGGATATATACAGCATGAAAAAATATAACAGCAATTAGTCCACACAGCAGTACAGAGGGCTCAGTTCAACTCACTTTTGTGGAACAGTTAATATACTGGAAGTCCTTCAACTCAGGAGGGCCGCTGGGTCTAGGGTCAAGGAAGCAGTCAGCTGAATCTTCCATAGGGCAATGAAGTCAGTCTGGCCACAGACAGCAAACAGCAGGCCAGGTCACCAGCAAGACGACAGGATCAGACAGTCCCAAGCTCAAGTGATGTACACACCAGCAGCGTGGTGAAGCAGGTCTCAAAGGAACCTCAAGCTTTAGCGACACGATCCATGGGTTGGCAGCCCCACAGGTAGTGCAGCTCACACGTTAAGGCAGAGAGCTAGTAGCCGCAAGCTGGTCTCACCAGAGAGCAAGAGAGAGTTGGGGCCTGCCGAGCCATTTATCTCATTGCCCTCCAATCAAACTGCGACCTTATTAATCCCACATATTCCTATTTGCCAGGTTGGCACAATAAACCTACCTATAGCACTCAGAAAGAAAAACTCTTATTTTACATATGTTAAATTGTTCTTCAGTGTTCAGGTCTCAACCCTCCAATTCCTTCTACTCTTCCACCTCACCTCGCTTTAACTTCTGACCATGACCATCCCGGCCCCCTTCATCTACAATCTCAGTGGTGTTCAAAGTAATTTCAGAATAGCTAAGTCACACCCCAGTGAGAAACAAGATGGGCAAATGGGTGAGAGAGCTTAAGGGATTTTTGGTTATTGGTCTTACCTGTCAAAATAGAAAAGTTTTCCAGAGTATGTAGGCCAGCTCCCTTTCCCCCACTGCCTTCATGGCTTTTGGATCATCCACTTAGAATACAATTGGCTCCATTTGTCACACTGCACTTCATCTGATTGATGGACATCCTGGTTTAAATTGTGGTTCAGGGAACATCACTGTGGGTTTTGACCAGTGCATAGTTCTGGATCCCCCAGCCAGAACTACCCAGAACAGTACCTTCACCCTAACTTTTACCCCATGTGGCCCCTTAATTCCCAACTATTTTCTTTCCCCCAACCCTTCCCAGACACTTGGTAGTTTTCCATCCCTTTTCCAGGATGCTGCATAAATGATACACATTATACCATTTGGGGCCTGGCTTCTTTCCTGACTGAAATCACCCATATGTGACTCAGGTGCTGCGGAGTCGCTTCCAACTCCGTGACGCATGCGCAACAGGGCAGCGCCGCCCAGTCCCGCACCCTCCTCACCGTGATTGTGTTTCAGCCCTGTGTTGCCGTGTGCTCGCCCTTGTCCAGGGCTTTTTATTTGCTGACCTGCTTTACCAAGCCTGGCGCCCTTTTCCAGGGGCTAGTGTTCCTGTGGCGGAGTGGTTAGGAGGTGGGCTGCTAACTGCAAGATCAGCAGTTCGAGATCCTCAGGTGCTCTCCTGGAGAAAGATGCAGTAGTACTGTGACTGAAGACACACCACGTCCTTTGATGCAATGACATGACCCTTAGAATGCACTTGTTAGAAATCTATGCACACATATATGAGATGTTCATTACACTGTGGTTTAAAATAGCAAAGCACTTCAACCCACCCCCCCTCCTAAAAGACAATGTCGTTCTTCAGTGGAGTGTTAACAAAGTAAAATGACTAAGCCCGTTTCTGTAGGGTCACCACGAGTCAGAATGGACTCTGGCCGTGAGTTTGGTTTTTCGGTTTATAGTCATTTCTCAGGAGCCCTAGTGATGTAGTGGTTAAGCACTGCGCTGCCAACTAAAGTTGGTGTTTTGAACACAGCCACTCTTGGAGGGTGGGGGTGGGGGGAATATAGATTTAGCTTCTGTAAAGATTACGCCCTTGGAAACCATAGGGCAGTTTCCCAATGGCCTTAGGAGCCCTGATGACTTAGTGGTTACCAGTTGGTCTGGGATTCCCAAGGTCTGTGGTTTGGTACCACGAGCTGCTTCCTGGGACAGAGATGGGGTTTACTACTCACGTCAACAGTTACAGTCTCAGGAATTCACAGGGGCGGGTCTATTCTGTCCTGTAGGGTCGCTATGATTTGGCAACGACTTGATGGCAATGAGTTTTTTTTTGTTTGGGCTTACAGGGTCACTGTGAGTCGCAATCAACTCAGTGGTTAGTTTTTTTTCTTTTAGATTAATACCCATTTCTAAAAATTAAGTACTAATGAAAGATATCTGCAATAAAATAGTACATGAAAAAGGGAAGTTGCAGGACTTTTGAATCCATCTGAGTATAGCCAAAGGGATTGTACACCTGTAAGTGATGGAATACAGAGTGAAGGCTTCCAAATAAGTGGAGTGCCTGTTACCTAAGGGAGGGTGTTTGATTTAGCCAGCACAGCAAAGCTATGGCTTTGGTTGACACCAGGGGTGTCAAACTGGTGGCCCGCGATGCTCTGAAATAAAATGTAATGAGGGAATTGTGTGTACAGTATTGCTTTGATCTCCCCTAAGCGCTATTTTCTTCATAACAATTTTTTTCTATTTTCATTTTATTTCAGAGCATCATGGACCACAAAATATTA